TGATTATAAATCAATAAAAAATGTTTAAAAAAAAAGTAATGCAACATATTTATTTGAAGTAGCTAGGGAGCCCAGCAATCGACAGACCCACGTGTTCTTTGAATTTGTTTTTTTTTTTGTGTGTAGTTGAGGTAGAGGAATCTAACTTCCTCCCCCTGCATGAAAATCGAATTGTTTCAAAATTTTCTACTGAATGTTTCATTCTTCCTTCACTAATCTAAAAATACTGTCTTTATCTGGACTCTGTTCTATTGATCCAGTTATCTTTTCCTATACTGGTACCAGTACCACACTGCCTAATTCCAGTTGCTCTGGAACATACTGTATAAATGGTAGGGTAAGCTCCTGCTCTTTGATTATCTTTTTGATACTATTCTTGCACAGTTTCTCTACCAAATGTCAACTAGCCAGGTTTTGTTGAAAATTTATCTTGGATTTAAATAGGACTGCATTGAATTTGTAGGTTAATTTGAGGAGAATTGATATCTTTACAACATATTAGGAACATGGTATCCCATGCCATGTATACATTTTTCACTTTAACGTCTTTCAGAAGAGTTTTAACGTTTTCATCACAGAGATCTTATACATTCTTGGTTAAGTTTATCCCTAGGTACTTTATGCAGTTTTATTGATACTGTAAATGGGATATTTCTTCTATTTGTTAGTTATTTGTGTTACATAGGAAAGTTTTTGAGGTTTATATGTTGATCTCTTGATTTTGTATGTAGCCTAATCTTCCTGAATTCTCATATTGCTTCCAACCTAAAGGATGTCCGTCATTTCATATGCAGACGTGCTCGTTTCTTCCTTTCCAGTGTTTTTCTTACTGCAGTGATGAGGACCTCCTCAAAAGTGACCAGTCGTGGCCATAGGATAGGCATCCTACTCTTATTCTTGGCTTTAAAACCATGCTTAGGTTCCTGGTAGCCATTTTTGTTTCCCTACTTCTAAGAATTTTTATTAGGAATTATCTGTTACCTAAAACAATCAATAAAATGTATTGCCAGCTGCACGCAAGATCCTAAGTTGGGTACTGTGAAAGAGGCAAAAGGATTATTAAACAAGATCGCATTCCTTCCACAAAAAAGTCTTCATCTCCCTGGATAGATAAGACTTAAAATAAAAAGGAATGAATAAAAATTTGGAGATAGTCATTGTGATGAATAATTCTGATCATGTTTCTTCCAAAACAGATTTATTCTCACAGAACAGCAGCAAAGGGCCATAAAAAAGCGTAAGGTATATACTGCTCTGGTAACTTTTTATTTTTCGTTTTACCTTTGTGGGGGAGGTAATTAGGTTTGTTTATTTTTAATGGAGGTACGGAGGACTGAACCCAGGGCCTCGTGCATGCTGAGCAGCTCGCTCTACCACTGAGCTGTAAGTCTGGTAAGTTTTGAAGTAGGATTTTAGAACTAGAGGAGAACTTAGACCTCATCTATTTCAATCTCTTCAGTTTATAGTGAAGAAAGCACAAAAGGCAGGAAGAATATTTATTTATCGTAATGCTTTACCTAAATTTATTTACCAGCAAAACTAGCTCCCCAGCCAAAGCTGAGTTGGAAAGGGACAGGCCCAGATGCTCTGCTTTTCCTAGTCCTTTAAGGGAAGAAGGGGGAGGGGGAGAGGTTTGGGTTGTTACCGGTTCCTGCTGGTGGTGGCCATCAGGCCGGGCTGGGCCAGCGGCCTTGGAGGTCCTGCGGTAGGGAAGGCCACATGGTTCTAGAGTTTGAGGACCAGCCTCACTCAAAGTTGTTGGAAGGGAGAATATATGAGTCCTTCCTAGAAAGTGACAGGAAAACTCTCCCTGTCATCTTGCTGGTTTTTCAGGCCCCTACACTCTATTTCCTTTATCCAAACCTCTTAGAATTTTAACTGGGAGAAACTTTAGACAGTCGTTTGTTTCTTCCTTTTATATTAAGGAAATGGAGAAAAGGAAGAAACAAAGAGAGGGAAAAGGTCTTGCCCCACGGCCATACTGCTAGTGAGTATCAAAAAGATGGTTCCTTTCCACTGAGGACTTCATTGATCACACTGCTTGGGCTGTGAACTACATTTTATGTCACAAATCAGCAACACATACTATAGGACACAAGGAGTTTCTAAAACAAACTTACTATGCAGTCTGATTTTTTCCTATTGTATGTATATTTCAAAAGGAATATTTTGTGTTTTAGTGCTGGTCATGGCCTTTAAACTGATTTCACAATTCACTTAGCATCGGGGACAGCCTGTGGTGTGAAAGTCAGTGAGTCAGATAACTGCTAGTTGGACTTGGGTTTACTTGGTGTGATTCAGCTTACAGGACAAAGCAGCTAGGAAAATAGGGGCTCCCCCCCACCCAGCCCCCAGCACGTACTCCCTGTGAGACTGCGTCTGCAGAGGGCTGGGGTGAACACTTCAAGTCACATGCTTCTGCCCCGCACGGCTGTGCAGGGTCTTCCCTGCACAAGGGCACTTGGCAGGGCCAAGCAGGCAAGTAGGGCTAGAAAGTCTGGCCAAACTCCGTGCCCGGCCACATGCAGAGGCCTGTCCAGGGACACTGGGGGCCCATCTCAGATAGGCATGCAGAGCTTCTGGGAGCCCAGTGTGCATGGAATTATCATCAGGGTCCAGGTGTGTGGTGCCTTTGCTGGTGGTTAGTGTTCACTGAGGTGCCCATTTAGTCCTAATAAGACCAGACAGACACACTGTGAGGTGTGGAAAGTGGCACGCATCACTAATTGTGTGTGTTTTCTTCCAAGGGGCTTCTTTCGATTTGTGCTGCGTAGAAAATGCCCAGAGGAAAGCAAGAGTCAGGTAAATCTCAGGAGGATAAAGTACTGTTGCCAGCGAAAGCAGGGGAGACACAGAACGAATGTCCCCCTTTTTCTGTTCTAGGACTTCTTCTGGAGGATGCAGCCGCTCTGGCTCAGGGACTTGTACAGACCTCTCAGTGCCACACGCAAGAAAAAAATGGCGCAGAAGCTACATGATGAGTCTTCTGATGAGGAAGAGATTTTCAGTAGGGTTGCGAGGTAAGTGATCGGGGACAACTTAAACTTCTCATCCAAATGAGGAAATAATGAAAATTTTAACTGTCCCTTTCAAGAGTAAAGGCCCTCAGCACTGTTGTTCTTACCCCAGGGCACCCAGAGATGGCGCAGCTGACGTGATTCTGACCATCGAGCCGGAAGAGCCGGATGAGGAGAGTGACACGG